AAAGATCGCCGAGTGACAGTTCCTTTTAACGCACGGAAATGCAAAATTGAAGTGTTTTCTTTATTCACATTTTAATTAGAAAAGGCCTTCTTGTTATGAGTGCTGTATAAATACAAATCGAAGAGAGCGCAACTGTATATACAAACATTCATAATAAAAAGACGAATGCGATATATCAATCCATTTATCGAAAATTAAAATTTTCAATTCATAGCTTTGGACTAGCCTAGACAAATATCGAGATAGGCAGGTTGGCGTATTTTTTAGGGTGATCCTTAACACATGGTGCACAAATGAAATTAATAATTTGAAAATCTAAAGTAAAATAAAGAGGTATTTCTTAAAAAGAAGACATTGAATTCATGTCATTCTTTTCTATTCTCTACCCCAATCAGCCACACATTTTTCAAATATTTCTGAAAAAGAAGTTGTATCTTTTACTGCATGCGTGAGCATAAATTAAGGTCTTGCAAACCAACCGAATTAATGACTTTTCCCTAACTTCGATTAAGGTTGAAGGACTTGTTGTAATTGTTGTAGTTAAATAATTTTTTAGATTTTTTTTTAGTAATAGAGGAAAACTGTTTGTAAATTGTCTAGGAATGAATTTTCAGACTAACGCTTGATTCATTTAAAGAGTTTCAAATAACGGAATGATACCATTTCGAATCATTAATGAGAATTAATAGAAACACATTGAAATTAGTATTTAACGACAGCATTTCGTATCGGGTAAAAACGAAACAAAATTTATTTTGATAACTGCTTTAAATGATAATGATTCCAAATGTTATAATTTTTAGATCAATGTTAAATTTATCGTGCAGCCTTGATTTAAAGTAATTAAAGATTATTTGAACAACCATAAATTAAACGAGAAAGGATTCAAAATAAAATAAGAAAATGAATGAATGAAATATTTCCATTCAGTTAACTCATGGCATTAAACAATTTTGTTTTGACACGATTCTAACTTTATTTAAAATTTTTTCGAAATTCATTTCGTGACTTCTTAACATCACTTTTTCCTTTAAAATTTTTACCAACTTGACGTTTTGGCACAATTGGCCTAATACTTGCGGAATTTTTGGCTTTACCTGATTATTTTCTGCCATTTGTATACATGCTTGCATACAAATGTATGTATGTATATGCAAGACTGCAATTCTTAAATGATTAGTGAAGTAATTTAGCTATGGCGAGTTTCCAATCTCATCTTTTTTGCATCTTCCCGTCCTTGCTCTTTCTAGCAGATACGATTGACGCACACCTAGGGATCGTGATATGTCCAATTTGTGATACTAGTGCTAAAATAAATTTTGAATTTTCGGCCAATTGATTTCTAGTTGGACATCTCCGACAATGAATATTTCTTATATTAATGCGCTTAGAAACACACAATTTCTCTATATTCGATGTCTCAACAAAGTTCACTCTACTCCACCTAATCCACAAACTCGAATCACGCATATTATATTAGAAAAAAAGTTCATACCAGTAGAGTTACTGCCCATTTGCAAACTGGTACGATTTCACCTATAGAATACTAATATTGAACTAGTATTATTAAGTACTAGTTTCGCTTAATAGTGGTTTATCTTATCTACCTACCCCTTTTCGGTAAAGAAATATAGGTATGCACATTATGTTTGTATACAGATGTAAATATTTAACAATATTTTCTGTTAACATATAATTTATTACAGTTTGCACCATTGGCTTTGAATATTCATCTCGCCGCGGCAGTTTTCGTTCGTTTAGTTTAATAAGAGAGATTTTTCTCTTTCGCTTACAGTTTCAAATATATTTTGAGTTCTACTTATTGGCATAATTTTGTATATAAATAAGTTTTCACCACTGTTTAAATTCTAATAAAATTCCGATTTAATCAAAATTTTCCACAAATTTCGGAACTAAACTATTAAAAATTCAAACAAGGAAGAAATTAGGTGTTCCATGTTGGAATCTTATTGTGCTCTCTCTTTGATTTTACTCGATATTTCGTTACATAGTTGGTATAAGAGAGCCTTACATGAGCGATGGAGAGCCGGAGAGTGATCGAATTAATTGTAGGCTAGGAAGTGGTTGCTCAGGTGTGCTGTGCTCATGATAGTAGCAACAGTATATGTAATAACAACTGTAATAATATTTTTATTTAACATATACACACAGACAAAAGCATACTGCCACACCCTGTGAGAAAATGTTGATTAATTACTGACGGAATAAGTGTATTTTTGGAATGATAGAAATGAGGCAGGAACTATACTAAGCTTTTAAAACGTTACTCTTCGGAAAAGAATCGTTATCAATACATATTGCTATGAAGATTGATAAGTATTTGAGAAAACAATACTCTGTAACCACCTGAGCCTCCATGTCTGTTTGACCGCAGCTTAGTCTCGCAAGTAAATTTTTGTAATGTGTGCAGAAACCATAGTGACCGGACCACAATCAAACGGTTAAGTGAGTGAATATAAACAAATGAACCTTATACATTGGAAGAATTCACCATCAATGTTGCTATTTTCATGAAATATATTGTGACTTCAGCGTAGAAAATTTTTAGGGAGTACTCAGAACGCTCTAATAGTATTTTTAATTTGTACGTTGTTAATGTTTTTTTTTTTTGATTGCAAAAGAAATAGGAAGTCTTCAATTAAAGTAAGCCTTGCCTTTGAGACGATACATTAGTTCGGTTCGTTGACGAGCTGTAACAATTTTTAGGAAAGTTTACTGGATCGTGTTTGTTGAGCCAAAAATTCAGTAAAACTTGGTAACGAAAGAGCGCAATTTTGATGTTTAGTTGGAGAGAAAATCTTGTAAGTATGAGAAACATCTGATTTATGATCATATGATTGAATTTTTGTCATCAAAATAAAAATGATTTAAAATTAAAATAATTTTAATTTTAATATGAATTATATGCCAACAAAATAAGTGCTTGAAAGTAATGTTGCTTATTTTATCTGTACAATAGAAATGATTCCAACAATACTAAAAGCTCTCGTTAAACGAAAATGTGGCGGCAGTGGAGTGGAACCATCGCCCGCTCACCATCCAGCTTCCATTGAGAAATTAGAAGTTAGGAAGGCATAGAATTAGAATATATTATTATTTCTAGTACCAGAGAGCAGTGGCGACCAAAGGAGCAGACCCCCTGCGGGTTAGGGGCTCAAGAATTTACCCGCGGTAAGGCATGCCTGTCGTAAGAGGCGACTAAAATCCAATAGTTCTCGCGACAGTCGGGTCTTTATACCGGAACGACCCGGATTTTTATCCGGCCAAGGACTGTCACTCCCGTAACATTCCCCAAAAAGTACTTTGGGGAATATTTTTGCGGTTACAACAACAACAACAACAACAACCAAAGGAGCAGCATAACAAATTCGAAGCAAAGTTGTTGTTTCGACCACAATGAGGATAATGCATTTTTACTCTTCCGGAAGCGACGATGATGCAAACACTGAAATATTATTAGCAGTTAGAAGGAAAAATAAAGCTCTTGGTTAACTCTATAATAATGTTGAGTAAATATAACCGGCTTACTCAGTTATCCTTACTAAAAATCGAAGCAAAACATTTTGGTATCTTTATCGTTGGACGGCTATAAAGCATATAGAATTTTATCATTGTTGAAATACAACAAGTTTTGAATACAATTAATAACTTAAAAATGTCACATATTGTACATTATTGTGAATTTTAGGAAAATACTTAAAACCAGAAGCAATAAATTGTATAATTGAACGAATTCAAAATTAACCGCCAAAATAAACAGCTATTGTACCACTTGTTAAGTAATTTTTTCTATAAGAATATATAAGCTGTAAGTTTATTTCTACAGAAAAATAAATAAATATATATATACTTTGGGTATTTATGTATATTGAATGGAGCTTATTTGTTATATTTTCTTCTTAGGCTGCAAGAAATAATGAACTTGATAAATAATGGATATCCTAATGTACATTGTTTTCGTGGTCAGTTTGTGATTAAGTTCATTTCTTGCGGGGATTCCGATCATATTTTCATGAAGAAGTTTATGCAAATACACACAAATGCATATATATATTTGTATGTGTTTTACTTTTATATGTATTTTATATATTAATTTATCATATACATTAATTACATATGTATGTATGTTAACATATATATGCATATTGTTTTTACCACAAAAAAGGAGTTCAAATGTTGCAGAGTACACTCGTATATGTTCAATTAACGAAAACTTAATTGGAAAAATTCTCACCTGATGTGTTTTCTCTCGCTTTCATGGACTTTGACAGCAAGGCTTTGAAAGTTCAAGCGTGACTTACATGTATTTGTGTGCGTCCACCTATTTACACTGATATGTACATACGTATGTATGTATGCATATGTGTAGTTCACTACACCTGAAAGATATGAATGGAGAAAAAATAAAACGAACAACAAATAAAGACGAGGTGAAAATCCAACTCGACGATAAATGAGAAAGGTATTTCTGAGCAGAGCTCCGCACTCTCCAAAATGCTTTCGGAAATTGAAAACAAAATGCTAAATGAGAAGGTATGCAAATATGCATATATGTATATATACATATATATGTATGTATGCTTACATCTATGTACATGTATACATAGGTAAACGAAAATATATGTATGCATAAGATTGTTATTATTTATCTAGCAATACTTATGTACATTTGTATGTAAGTATACATTTAGGCAAGTATATACATATGTAGTTGATATTATTCGCTTTGGCTTGAAACAAACTCACCATCTTCTTGAGTCCATACATACATTTGTGTGTCCACTTTTGAGTATAAATGTATATTTTACCTGCGTATACTTTCTATATGTACGAGTATGTACATATGTATGATCTTCGTATGTATGAGAGTATTTGTGCAGTATGTATGTGTATGCGTGGGCACCTAGTTAGATCGGCTCTCAGTTTTTTTATGTTTGCTTATTGCAAGATAGGCTTGGAGCCACTTGTTAGTGTTTTCTCGGCTATGTTCATCAGCATTTTGGTTAAAGGCTCATACCTGTAAAACGTCGATCGCTAACTACCTCAGTCAGTTGCTGTCATACCACCGAAGGTTGAGCGCGAGCGTACCGGTAAACGACGAAAGTGTTTAAACGGTTTTTAGATATATTTTTTCACATTTTATTATTTTATCTTGCTCTTGTTGTTGTGGTAAATTATGTTGCATGCTGCTTTGTACAATTGGAAATGTGTATATATGGATATGTACGAACTATTTGTGTTTACTAATAATGCGGTTTTTAATAAAATTAAGAAATTCGTTTCCATTTAAATTTTTTGCAAAATTATTTTAGTTAATACACTTTAAGATATAAATAAATGTGATGTTTTATAAAAAGAGAGCTGATAATACGATATATACATACATACAACTACATACATATATACATACAATATTATATACTTACATACTTTCCCACTATGAAAAGCTATGCATATGTATATAAATATGTATACGCATATTAATAACGCTGTTAAGATATGTATGTACATACATTTGTAATGGGTTTGTGTGCTCACAGGTATGTACATATGTATGTACGTTTATAGCCACTTCTGATTGATCGTATGAAAATTACTTGTGGAAACACATGGAACACACTCATGTAAAAAGTCGCGAAGAACAGGTTAAAAGGAAAGTGCAATAAAATTCGAGTTGTATGACAGTGAATATACAGACATATTTAGAAATATACATTTCCAAGTGTATAAAAGTTGAAAGCAAATAATATTTAAAAATTGTTAAAGAAAATAACAATACATAAAATATCCGAAGAAATGTCCATATATATATGAGTATATAAGTACATACATATTTATGTACATGTGCATGAATGATGAAGATGTAACAGGTAGTCTCAGAAGCAGCCGTAAGCAAGAGAGCGCAGCAACAAGTGGAATTCATAAAAACAGCAACAACATTACAGAGGTAACAATATAAAAGAGACTAAACGATAAAAGAAATTTAAAGAAAAGGGTATAGAATATGTAAAATTGCAAAAGTTTGTGATGAACTTTAATTTGTTTGTATGTAACATCGTTGGTTTAAATGTATGCATATGCATATAGATAACTTTATTTGTGCGTATTTAACGCACGCTAGTAAAAGTTTCAATTGGCTACAACTTTCAGATTTCTAGTTGATTTCTTTTATACTTGAAATTACCCGAAAACAAAAATCCACCGAAAAAACGACCGAAACAAACAACTTTACAAGAAACTCACCACTGTTGTTTGATTTCGTAAACACAGCTTAGCTTCCAAGAAGCACACATAGCTAATGAAAGGATACTGATATTTCAAACTTGTTACTTTTCAATTGTACCGCTAGTCGGTGCTCTACTAAAATTAAAAGCATAGAAACGAAAAAAAAACTTAAAAAAAAAAAATAACAAAAGTATAAAAAAAGTTTTAAGGTGAAAATTATTTAAGTATGCATTCTTATTGAGCCACAATCGTCTAGGTCTGTCGAAAGTAATAACTTTGATATTGGAGGTATTACTGAGGAAAGAGTTAGCATTTGTGAAGTTACACCTCTCTTGACGAATAAGGACGAGCCATCATCATTTCTGTATTCCCTAAAGCTGTATTAGTTATTACAACAAACAGATAGGCAGATATAGCAAAACCAATTCGGCCCTTCTGATAATTTCATACAAATGCCAAACAATGATCGTACATACACATACTCTTTCGAGTCTACTATCAGGGGTCGGAATATATAAGGCACGATTTTTAAGATAAAAATGATTGAAATTCTCCACATATTTCTCATTTCTTTAATTTTTCATAGAAAAGTGGTAGATTTATTTTTAAGGAAAGAGGGTAGCAAAAATAATACGATACATGTTTAATGTCAGATAACTATGAAGTCGACAGCGAAGAGAGAATAAAACTATCTGAAAATTCAGTTAGGCGTATACCAACCAAGAGAGAAGGGGGAATCAATTGAACGTTTATGAAGCACCATAACTACTGAAACGAATTCCGATTTGTACTAATTATAGCTCCTTGACGTTTTTACTATAATATAGTGAAAATACGGTTACAGTCGAGTCCCGATAATTTGAAATGGAAAGTGATTTCAATATTTAAGAACAACACAGGCATTTGATTTTCTCAGATTTTCATTTATCGAGACTCAACAAAAGACAAATTCGAATCAACGAGGCTTACATATTTCACATTATGTTTACATTTATTTCCATTAATGTTAAGGAAATTAAAAATTTTACGAATTAAATAAAAATTAAGAACTAAACAAAAATATAAAATCATAATAACAAAAAATCAAGCGTCAAAGAAGTCTGTAATTTTCGATTGTTTTGTGGTCTTTCCCCCTTAGTTTTGCTACTTCGTTCTCCAAACTGATTAGGTTTGCCAAATACACTATCATGGACATTATATGTTAAAAAAGTAGTAATTCAGGAATTAAAGCTCTGGTTTGTATGTATATTGGCTAAAATCTCATCTCCTTCGGCGTCATCATAATCCTCGTTACTTTCATTATTTGTACGTGAAACTTCTTCCAATATGCCATTATCTGTCCAAATACCAGATACAGCAACATTATTGCCAACGTTTAGTCATTTCTCAAAAGTACCATAATTTGGAAGAAATATTTGCCCAAATATAATATAGTAATATTGTAACCGCAAGCACGGTCAAGGGGTTGCAGCTTTAACGTGCATTATGCGCCGTACAATTGCCGTTGAATGACAATATCATTCGATTATTAGCTGCCATAAGAATCATTTAGTTTTATGATTATGTCGATAATGCACAGGAAAGCTACAAATGTTTTTAAAGCACCTTGGTTTTGCTGACTTTCCGATTAGCAGGAGTTTAAGTTTTTCGGTGCCAGCAAATCGGTTCTAGCAAATAATAGGGCCATTTTTTTCCTATTGTATTTGTCCCTGTGACATTTTTCATTTTTGAGGCAATAGGTTCGATCTGGCAAGGACATGTAGAGTAACCCAATATATTCTTTGATTCGTAATCCTCCATCAGATCACTCAGCTTCTGCTTCCATTCTCAAAACATACGCGTTCATTAACATACAGCCTTTCATCGCATATGTGATATTCTGTATTGTGTTTAAAACGATCCAGCCTTCCGCTTGTCTTAAAGCCAGTTTCGTTCATAGCTTTAGCAGAAAACAAATCTTTGATAATTCCTCCCAATGGGAAAATTATTCTGACGGTATTGTGTAGACCCCAAGAATAGAGGCTTTTCTAAATCCCGAAATACAGCATGTTTCTGTCGTTTTGGTTGGTTTTGGAATGTTGTTACGCTTTTAAAAACTCCTCTGATAAAATGAATTTAAATAAATAATGTAGAATGCATAATTGCAGATATAGCTTTCATCTAACGGTTTATAAAATTAATAAGAAAGAATAGCCAATAAACAATCGGCAGTGCTACTGAAACGATTTACATTAAAGAATGGAGGTTATTTGAATGACTTCTGAATTACTTATTATTCAATGGCCCTTTAACGGTGTTTATCTTTATTATTCAGGAAAGTTACTATAAATTTAAAAAGTTATGACTATACCAAAAGCACTGACACGTATGTTGGGAATTTTTAGAGTAATTAATTATCTCTTCTCTTCTAATTATTTCAACATAAAAAAGCTTATGTCAAATGGGACCAGAAGTGGATTGGAGAGTAAAGCAATGACGAAATTAATTGTATTGGTATTTTACTAATGCGACGCTAATGCAAAAATAGCCAAAACAATCCAATCACTAATGGAAAATTTATGTATTAATTAATGATGTCTTTCATTGCAAAAGTAGTAATTATAACTATATTTTACAAAATAACTAAAAATAATGTGATTTACAAAATCTCCGATGTTTCTTTTTTCTCATTTCACTTCAAATTCGAAAATACAAAGTTGAGTCAAGACTGTATCAAAGTCTCTTTCCAGTCTTTTGTTGAGAGCAAATTGCATTTTAATACGAGAATCTTTTTTATATTGAAAAAAATACACAACGTCTGCTATTTGTTTCCAGAGACACATAAAAGATATATTCTATGTATATTACCAGCGATAAATTTCGAAAAAATGTAGATTTTTGAACATTAAAAATTTTCGGTTTTTCTCTCTTCGAATGTAGAGATTTTGAAAATGTATAGCATATTACTGAAAGAAAGTGCAGAAGAGTGAAACTTTATGTACATACATACATAAGCTCTATGCAAATTTAATAAATAATACGTGTATATTGCTGCAATTTGAAGATTTTATAACGAGTTTGGTCAGTTAAGGAGTTGCGTGATCAGAACGTACAAGTTCGAAACAGTCGGCTGAACGGTGAGCTTTGTAAAGTGTACATGCAAAGATAAGCGAATTGAAACGATTCGTCGATTTAGTCTTTATAAATTTGTATGTGTAAGTATACATATATATATGTAAATAGTTGGCGCTTTACAACCGTTAAACCGATACCCAGCAGAGCTCCTCTTCTAGTTTTTGGTGTGCGTCTTGATGTTTTTTCCTCCGAACATCGGATGGATTTTTATCAGAAGCCTTTTCATTCAAATTAGAAATACACACGGAGGCGTAAATATAGATATTTAATTATAACTATATATGTACGAATATATTTGTATACATGCGAAATTATTTGAGCTTTACTGATTTTGAATGATTTTTTAACATAATTTTGTTTTTAGTATTAAAAATCCTTCTTAATTGACAGATTGATTTCAACCTTCAAGTTATATTTCGAAATTTAAGTTTTCTCCAAAAATTATGCATACCTGCTGCTTCATTATATTTAAATAAATTTCAAATTAATTTTCATGAATAAAATAAATTTAATGTGTATTTTGACTGAGTTTATTCTTCGGAAAAAGTTAAAAATCCAAACAGAATGTCTCCAACCTTCCTCACACAACTACTGAAGTACATGAAATCATTAAATTCTTAAAAATCAGCCGTTCTTGGGGGGCTTAGAAAATTGTGTGGACCTTATATTTGTTGGGAAAACATTAAGCTATCCCCATAACTTTAAAAAATATTTCGGCCGAAATTTACTGTTATAAAGCGCCAGTTACATATATATGTACATACGTGTACATACAAATACATACATAAGATTTGGATGACGAGCTGGGTTGATCTTCCCACTTGCCATATCCACCCCTCCCTCAGTTAAATGATTGAATTTAAAGAACTAAATTTAAATAATGTAAGAATTCAACACAAATGCATTCGAAAAATTTGAGATGTTTTTTCTTTTTCTTATTTAACCCTAAAATGCTCTATTCCTGTAAGTTCAGAGACAGCATCTTATTCTTATAATTTTTAATTCACATTTAGTCCTTTAGAACGATCCGTGGCAAGAAATCTGATTTTAAGTGGAAAATTGGTTACTGAAAAATGAAAAATTGTTTTCTTTGTGGGCAAAGTATTTACCGACTGCAATTGTTACAGCAAATTTATACAATATTTTTTCTTTTAGTACTGTACTTATGTATGTTACATACGTATTTATTATACATATATGCATTTATCACCATACACACAAAACCTTTGACGTTTCAACGGAAATTTCCGGAACACAGCAGATCTCATGTAAAGTCTCCTTTACGCAATAAATGTTGTAACTACAACAATATCTACTTAAAGTATGTTTTGCAGTAGACTTGGCGAGTTTATGTGTTCCTTTTAGTTTTACTTATCTTTAGGATACTACAATAATAATAATAAAAAACCGGCTTTGTTATAGCATGCTATACACGTGTATGCACATATATACACTGCACAATCGGGTATAACTGCAGATCGTTAATGCATACATTTGCACAAACATTCGTCTCAGCGATCCACCATTAATTATATTACCATTTTATAAATCTGATTCAATTTAACTTAGAAGACAGTAACCGACACCGAAGCGTTCCCTCATTTCAAC